GATCTGCAGTGAGTCAGGAAACAGATTTGTGACATTGACAAGGATTCTCAGGACAATTGCCCTATGGTGGCTGGAACAGTTTAGTTTGAGGACTTTATTGCCAGAAACACCAGGTCATGCATTGACTTGTTTTGTGGGGTCCTTGTTCATTCTTCACACTATTACCCTGCATTCCTGTGGGAGAGCCCTGCCTAAACACCAGCACATGGGACTTTTTATCTTGCATTCTTCTTGTAAGCAGGTGAGGACCTACTTTTATCTCTCTCTCTGCCTCTCATGCTAAAACAACCAGAAGGCCTCTGGCTTACTTTCATGAGTCCCTAGAAGCCTGTCATCAGAGAGCCAGTGTCACTGCAGTCATGATTTTGGTTTAGCTGCTGGTAAAAGTGTTGCGTGAAGTATTGGCCATGGGCCATGCAGAAACAGGAAGAGGGAGCGCAATAAAGAGATAAGAACACGAACTCTCTGAAGACAGTTTTAGGGACTTTGCCTTTGTTGCGTGACTTGATAGCACAACAGTCCGATGAAGTGGGTTTTATATAAGGTGTTCATATCTCACAAAGAGATGCAGCGCCTCGTGCAAGTTCATCCTAGTTGGCGGCACCTTTGTCCAAGGTCTCTACATTATTGGTGCTTCTCATAGCTGCTTTGTGTCCCCTGTCTTTGCAGACAGTACCACCTCACACACACTGTCCTTGGTGTGGCCTATGGGGAGGCCACTGTGCCTCACCTGACCCTAGGTTAGCATCAAAGTGACATGGAAAAGGTTCACAGTGGAAGAGAAGCCTCCACAGGTGACAGGGTGTGAAAGAAGCCCTCAAGCCCTCCAGGGCTGGCTGCAGGAGACACAGAATGAATTGGGCTCTCCCAATTCAAAAAGAGAGAACTTCAATAGAAAGTGGAAGAGAGATTGTGTCAGAGACGAGCAGGTAAATATAAATCAGCCATGTATGCTGAGGCAAGGAGGGCAAGAGAGCCAGAGAAGGGATTCATACTTGGGTGAGGCTGGCCTTGGACTCAACACTTCATGGTCGTGCCCAAGCCAAAGAGGTTCCTGATCTACACAATTGGAGAAGAGTGCCAAGAAACACAGAGCATTCAGAGGAAAGCCTGGAATTTATGGAAATAAAGTCTGTGGGGACACTGCAGCAGCTTTGGTCACTCACCATGAGGAATTGTCATCTTCAGGGGATAAATGAGATGACACAGAACCTTACAGCTTTGTCTAGAAGGAGCAGGGCTTTATAGACCACTTCAAGTAGATAGAAAAAATTGATCAAATTCCCCTTAGCCTCTTTAGACATGAAATCTACTAAGTTTCTTGGTATATATGTTAAGCCAATTTGTAAACTATAAGGAGACAGGAAGAGATTTGGTCATTGGAAACCTTAAAAATTGAACTCCAAGGCTGGGCACAGTGGCTCATGCCTGTAATCCCAGCGCTTCGGGAGGCCAAAGAGGGTGGATCACCTGAGGTCTGGAGTTCGAGACCAGCACGGCCAACATGGTGAAACCCTGTCTCTACTAAAAATACAAAAATTAATTGGGCGTGATGGCAGGCGCCTGTAATTCCAGCTACTTGGGAGGCTGAGGCAGGAGAATCGCTTGAAACTGGGAGGGGGAGTGGGGGGGGGACGGAGGTGGCAGCGAGCCAAGATTGTGCACTCCAGCCTGGGCATCAAGAGTGACACTACATCTTCAAAAAAAAAAAAAAAAAAAAAAAAAAAAAAGGACTCCAGGGTTAAAAAGTCACCTCTACCTTTTGTTTCAGCATTCTTAAGAGACTGATAGTACCTACCTTATCAATGGATGTACTTGTTGGAAGTCAATTGATAGAGACTATATAAACATACTCTGTAAACTATGAAGCATTTTATCAAATATAACTTCATATTGCACAGATATCCAGCTTTTTAAAATAAAACATGCAGAAAGAACTTATTTTGGTGTGTGATGAGTGGTAACAGCAGCTCTTAGTACTTCACTGTGATTTCTGTTCTAGCATATTTGCTCTTAAAACTGAAGAGTAAGGGGGAAAATAAAGATGAAAAATAAGCTTTGATATTTCCAAATGGAGCATTTCAAAATGTCTCTGATGGACATGGTTAATATCAGAGTGTCGAAATTGAATGTAGATGTATCAATGTGTTAAATAAAAGCCATTGTCCAGCTTAAGAATTATCTCTCACTATAGTAGTGTCTAACTAGTAGCATTCATAATTACAATCTTTTTTACAGTATTTTTGTAAGAAAGTTGATCTCAAGAGTTACACACGTAGCTTTAAGTATTTGTGTCTGCCTTGACAACAGAAATCAGTCAAGAAAGTGGCAGGTTTATTTTTCTATACGTGGGTAAATGTGATAAGATGGATGGTGCATTAAAAAATAAAGAGCAGGGCTTCTCCAAGCTGATTTACATATTGATTACTTAAATTACTACTTAATTTAGCGCCTGGTAATAAACTGTGCCTTGGAAATGTTTCCCAAGCATTTATTGGCTGCAGTAATTCTACCTACAGTGTATGCAGATCACAGCCTCATTAAATATTAATGTGCTCATGAAATGTTAATAGAATGTTAATGTGAAATACAAGGGAATGTGCTCTCTGGGAGCCGATGAAAACTACCTGTCTTCTGTCTTTTCTTTATGTTCTGTCTTCTGGCTCTGTTTCTTTTTTTCAGTTCATTTCTCCCATCATCAGGAGCTTCGGATTAGCTCTCTAATCTGGCTGTCTCAGAAAACATTTAGAAGGGAAATAAAATTCACTGATTAATGGAACTTAGTTGTTCTCCCCTCGTGCTTTCCAGAATGGGAATTTCTGGTTAGAACCAGAATGGGTTCCCTGAAAAGGAAAAGGGTGATTCAGGCTGAGTGAAGTGAAATTCTCTGTGCTTGGGCAGACTGAGTGCATATGTTTTGGGGAGGCCAGCCCACTGCCAAACTCACCTCAATGGGCTCTGACCTTCATCTCTATCTGGAATGTTCCTTCTCACATAGCTTGACATAGCAAGATCTTTCTCATTGCTTGATTCTCAATAGTCCGAGAACCTTCCTTGATCACCTGGTTTTCTAAACTCCCCTCCCCAAGTATTCCCTGTTACTCTCTGTCACTCAACAAGTTATTATTTTATTTTCATAGCACTTGCGATAAACTGTGTAACTACGTCTTTTGTTTTTGTGTCCTTCAATTAGAATGAATGCTCAATGAGGTCAGGCCCTTGTCTATTTTATGGGGCTCAGCCATCTTCCTGGTAAATAATAGGTGCTCAATTAATACTGTTGACTACCTGAATAAAACACCTGTCCCTGCCACTGAAGAGTTCATAGTCTGTGGAGGTGACAGAATGAGTCACTGCACAGCATAATTGTAGATGCTACTGAGAGATGGTCATTCAAAGTGCTGTAGCTGTTAAGGAAGTCCCAGAAAACTCTTACTGGGGATGAGTTTTGGAGAGTCAGCTTTAGACATGGATAACGTTTTGTAACTTGAGAGTTTTGTTATTTTGTTTTGCTTTCGTTCCATCTATGTGTAGAGTAATTTCCTTAGTTGAGAGTGATAGGAACATCTCAAATTAGCTTAAGAAAAGAGGATAATTTATTAGATGGACAAAAGGATTTTCAGAGGAGGGATTGAGCAACCAAAGGAGAAAGACAGGGAAGTAGCTGTGCTATAGGAACAGGGGACCAGTAGGAACAGGTGGAACCAGTCTCAAACACTTCTAGGTCTCTCGCTGCCTCTCCTCTCTGTTTTACTTTGCATTTTAGTTTTATTTTCCTTTTTTTCTAAGGGCCAACATCCGGGTAACTCCTAAACTCCTAAGTTCACACCCCAGGGGCACCGTCAGCATAGTTGAGCCAGTTTTCTTTCTTTCCTTTCCTTTCCTTTCCTTTTCTTTTCTTTTCCTTTTCTTTTCTTTTCTTTATTTTCTTTCTTTTCTCTTCTTTTCCTTCCTTCTCTTCCTTCCTTCCTTCCTTCCTTCCTTCCTTCCTTCCTTCCTTCCTTCCTTTCTTTCCTTCCTTCCTTCCTTCCTTCCTTCCTTCCTTCCTTCCTTCCTTCCTTTCTTTTCTTTCTTTCTTTTCTTTCTTTCTTTTCTTTCTTTCTTTTTCTTCCTTTCTTCCTTTCTTTTCTTCCCTTCTTCCCTTCTTCCCTTCCCTTCTTTTTTTTTTTTTTTGTTGTTGTTTTTTGTTTCGAAGTGGAGTCTCACTCCATCATTCAGGCTGGAGTGCAGTGGCACTACCTCGGCTCACTGCAACCTCCACTTCCTGGGTTCAGGTGATTCTCCTGCCTCAGCCTGCCCTCTACCTGCAATTAAAGGCACCTGCTACCGCACCCAGATACTTTTGTTATTTTTAGTAGAGATGGAGTTTCGCCATGTTGGTCAGGCTCGTCTCCAACTCCTGACCTCCAATGATCCACCCGCCTCGGCCTCCCACAGGGCTGGGATTACAGGCATGAATCACCATACCTGGCCTCAGTTTTTCTTAGTATGAAGTCTCAGGAAAGGACTCTGATTGGTCCATCATGTCACATTTTCCAGGCATGATTTATTCAACTGATGCCAGAGGGTGAAGATCTTGTAAGAATATGGACTTCCTTGGAAAATACCCTATTGAGGTTTGAGATTGAAGTCACAGAAGGAGTTACTATTCCCAAGAAAAGAGGATAGAAATGGGAGGACGAGAGAGTTGTTTGGTCACTGAAATAAAAAAGTCTTTATTGTACTATTCCAAAACGTTCTCCACAGGCTCCTCTGTGTAAATGGGAACCAACAAGCAAAATATCCTCTTACAGGGTTGAAGAGGGTTGTCAAAGATTTAGTGGGGGAAAATGAGACTTTTAGGTCCTATATACTTGGAGTACTATTTTGTCCTGGCCCCAAGAGTCTTCATTTGGGGATCTGAAGTGGATCTGTGTATTCACCTATTGGAATGAAGTTGATATTCTTAATGTTTTCTGCAATTGAATTGCCTTTCTAATCTGTTCCCTTTCCCATTACAGATTGTGCTTGAGAACAGTAGCCGAGAAGATAAGCATGAATGTCCCTTTGGCCGCAGTAGTATAGAGCTGACCAAGATGCTGTGTGAGATCTTGAAAGTGGGCGAGTTGCGTAAGTATACTTATTTCCCACATGGGTGTGAAGCCTGGCAGAGTCCCAGCTTCCAGGGTTGTGCCCCTACCTGTATGAAGAAATCCCAAGACGCCGACAGCTTCTTATGGTCATCACTGTGCATAGGTTGATTATTATTTGGCTCAGGTTTACAATACATACTTTTGCATGTCTGCTCTGGAAGTAAATGTGATTAAAACCTATGGGAATGGAGAAATTTACAGATATTGTAGCTGAGTTTCAAATATCATGTAAATGAGTACATATTAAAACAGGCTTGCTTCTGTTGAGAAAAAAAAAAACTATGGATTTCTTTTTTAAAATTCCAGTTTATAACCTACCAGTAGATCCTTTTCTTTCTTTCAAAGCAATTTTTCTCTATAAAGAAAAATTGAATACCTTAATGAAATTCTCTTGCTCCCAGTGTTTCTGTTGTTTGGAATACTTTCTCTAAGAAAGAAGAAATTATTAAAGAAAATAGGTAGCTGAAAATGAAAAATGTGGTCAGCAATATTTTTATTGCTCTTTTTCTTATATCACAAAATTTATGAGAGTATATACAGAAAAAGAAAGGATGAGAATTTTCTTGCCTTTCATTCATTGGTATAATTTGGCTTTAACCTATGAAGGTGGATATGATTTAACCTGTCCTCGTTATCATTGTTGACATTGAGTCTTCTTAAAGTGGTTTACTTCCATTCCATCCAACATTTAGAAGCCAACACACATATAAATCTTTCCTCACAGGTTTAATCACATGAGCACCAGAAAAGACTGTTTACAACAGAAAAATGTTGGGGGTGTTTGGTATTACTGTGAAAATATAAATATTCAGTTGCTTGCTTGAGAGCTTAAAATAATGGCCTGAAATGATTAATGGGAGGAATCTGATGATTACATTGGACAAAGAATTATGTTTTATTTACAGTGTAGAACTGACTACAGGTGCTGCTGAAGTAAACTAGAAAATTTAATACTTAGTAAGGAAAAATACTAAGAAATTGAGCCTGCTTGGCCAAGTGGGAACCTTTATCATCTTCCAGTGAGGGCTCATGGGAGGAAGCAGCCGATGTTGACATGGAACATGAGCATTTTTGCATTGGAACAGTAGCAATGTAACCTGAGAGATCTCTGCATTCATCTACTCTGGTTTATAGCTCACCCAATGTGAACATTTCTGTTTACGTGGATCCTTGACTTGAGTTATCCTTCTCCCTAATTATACTTAACTCGCTGAGATTTCAGTCTGCAGTATCACTTACTGTTTACTCAGCTTAAGGATGTAAGTCCTAAATCAAACAAATACTGCTGAATTTCTCCATCTGATAACTGTGACTGTTTCATGTTTATCTCAATTTCATGGGAGAAACTGGTGAAAGCTGCTGGCTGGAAAGCATGTCTGGACCATCTAGTTAATTTTCAGGAACTGGAGTGAGTAGTGGTGTTCTACCAGATGGGTATTTCTGTGTCCAAGGTACTGCTCTGCACTGCCCTTCATTGTCCCCTCCTTTCTGATGACACCCTTTAGCTGTTTATGCTCATCTTGATGGAAGCAGAAGGCATACTGTCTATGTGCCTTCACTCATGTTCTATGATGTGCCATGCCCAGGTATGTGCTCTTCTCCTTTGCCCAAGCGACATATGTCTGTCCTACTAAAAGTAAACAAAGAAGAGTGATCTGGTGTAGGAGGTGGAGACTGCTGGTAATAGAGGGGAACTGAGTTCAACTCTGCTACTTTAGGGCCTTGTGTCCCTGAGTGAATTACTCAGAAACCGCACTATGCTCCTACACCTCCAGGTTCTCTCCAGAGCAGAATGTCTAGAAATGGATTGGTAGTATTTGGGATGATGATTTGAGTAGTTGTGTTCATCTTCTGCCTGAAATTACAGTGATCTCAGTGAGAGAAGCTCTTTGGGAACAGCTTGTATTCAGCATGGGGGAAATAGCTTGGAAGAGATGGCTGAATTCCAGAGCAGGTGCAGGCAGGGTAAACATGACCCTGACGTGGGCTGGCCTCTGGGTCACTGGGTCCCCATCCAGTGGGCAGAGGGGACCTCAACTGGCAAGAGTCTGGGCAGGTAGTCCTTCTAAGGTGAGTGTTCATTTTGTACTTGGGGATGGGGTGAGGACAGAATAGGGGATAGGGCTTGACCTCTGGCAGGTGCAGAGGGGCACCCTGGCCTTTTGAGTATCTGGTGGTCAATCCAGGAATCAGGACAGAACTCTGTGGGCTGAAATAACAGAGTGGAGATGAAGGCAAATACCTCGCGGGTCCCTGGAAGTGCCACAGATGCTCTTCCTGCACTGAAGACTGTTCCATCTCGCACCTTCTGGTGGAGAGAAGACTCCTGACATTCTGCCACGGCTCACTCAGGCCTGGTTTCTGCATCGAGACTGGGCTTGGACACCTGAGGCCTGGCATTGTCAAAGCAGTCTCTCTTCACCTAAGATGACAAACACATTTATTAATTTGTTCAATGAAATCTATCCAGTACTTAAAACATGCCACAGACTATGAGGGACACTGCAGGTACAAAGGAACCAGATGTGGTCCTTGTCCCTGAGGGAGTTCAGAAAACTTCCTACACACTTCAGAAAGTGGGAGAATGAGCTGGGACTGATATTTTTTCCTGTGAGTTTTGTCATTATGTTTTTTAACACGTGCCCATCATCTGTCCTGAAACATAATTTCCCCAATGTTGTAACAGTTGTAAGTTTAAGTTTTTAGTTTGACTTGTCGCTTGCCATCATCTGCAAAGCCCATTCTGGAAATTTGTCAAGGCTTACAAAAAACTCTCATGTTTCTGAAGCCTACATGCCAAAATGAGTTGTTTTCTGCTCATAAAATATTAAAAGACTGTTACATTCTGATTGAATGCTAGACATCAAATGATAAAACACCCTGTGGTAAGAGCAAAATTGCTTTTTAATTGATTGCTTTTTGCCCATTGCCATATTAAATAAGTTACTAATATGCAGAGCTAATCTGAATACACCCTTATGTTGAAAGAAATGCCTATTTTTCTTCTGAGGAAAAATTAGATTTACACACAAATCTATCTTCACTTGGCTTATATATGTCTGTTTTTCTCCATTCCTAAGTTCATGGTTCTGAGCACTTCTCAGGTTTGTGTTAATAATTAATCTTGAAGACTATGGTCACTTCTGTTCTATATAGAAGTGCTAAGACCAAAGAAATACTCAATTAAAACTCTAACTGTTGGAGAGAACGGATGTTTACAAAAGTAGAAAGATCCAATTTTCTAGAAAGGGTTTCTCTTTTGATTTTAATTTTTGGTCTCTTGAGGAAACCCACTTCTGAAATAACAATTATATTTTGGTGTCTAAAGCAAACATATTAATGTTCAATTAATTACTAATACCAAATATTTATGTACCATTTTCTAAGGTTGCTTTAAAAAAAAAAAACAGCACTATTTCCTGCTTCCTAATTATTGACATTGCAAGAAGCAAATGTTACCTCTAATAGCATGGTCCAAAATAATGTCTATTCACATTCTCAGAGCACTTCAAGGTTATTCAGTTGAAGTCTGTAACACTCTCAGGAGTTAATCAAGAGCAATGGCATCTATGTTTATTAGTGAAGGGAAGACCTACTTACTTGCATAATGTCTGAGTTTACTGAGCTCAAACTGGAATTTAGGAAGCCAAAAAAAAAAAAAAAAAAAAAAAACCAGAGAGAGAGAGACAGTGTAGAAAGAGGCAAGAAAGTAGAGTGATTGCCTTTGGGCATCTGAATGACCCATCTTGGTCACTGGCTTTATGCCTAGGGCATGTTTCTTCTCTGTTCTGAGCCTCTGGTTCCTTATTTATGAGATAAAGATAGTACATGCTGCGCACAGTTGGTTGGAGTCTTAAATGAGATAATGGATGTTGTCCTAGTTAGAAGATGGGTAATTTTGGGGCCAGATGTGGTGGCTCACACCTGTAATCCCAGCACTTTGGGAGGCCGAGGTGGGCGGATCATGAGGTCAGGAGATCGAGACTGTCCTGGCTAACATGGTGAAACCTGTCGCTACTGAAAATACAAAATTAGCCAGGTGTGGTGGCGAGTGACTGTAGTCCCAGCTACTTGGGAGGCTGAGGCAGGAGAATGGCATGAACCCGGGAGGCGGAGCTTGCAGTGAGCTGAGATTGTGCCACCGCACTCCAGCCTGGGCGACAGAGTGAGACTCCATCTCCAAAAAAAAAAAAAAAAAAAGAAAAGAAAAAGAAAAAAAAAAAAGAAGAAGAGAGCAAACTGAAAGTTTGGTGAGGTGAGGAGGGTGCTCTGGCATAAGCGACAGCTGGATCTAGGGCCTGGAACAGTGTCCCTTGTTTCTTTATCTTCTATATATTGGTTAAATTTTTCTTTTTAACCTGCTTTTTTCGTGAGGCTCTTTTGTGAGCAAGACATATTTTCTCTTAGTTTCAATTTCAGAAATTACAAAGAGGAATACTTAGGGACCTGGACGTGGTCACATATCCCCATAGCCTGGCTGGGATAATTGGCAGCCCCGGTCAGAAGAACATGATTGAAGATTGTGAGATGATGTGGTTTGGCTGTGTCCCCACCCAAATCTCATCTTGAATTGCAGCTCCCATAATTCCCACATGTTATGGGAGGGACCCAGTGGGAGATAATTGAATCGTAGGGATGGTTTCCCCTGTACTGTTCTCATGGTAGTGAATAAGTCTCACGAGAGCTGATGGTTTTATAAGGGGAAACCCCTTTTGCTCCATTCTCATTCTCTCTTGCCTGCTGCCATGTAAGACTTGACTTTTGCCTTCCACCATGATTGTGATGCCTCCCCAGCCACGGGGCATTGTGAGTCCATTAAACCTCTTTTTCTTTATAAATTACCCAGTCTTGGGTATGTCTTTAGCAGCAGCATGAAAACAGACTATTTCAAGAAAGGAGCAAGTCTTCAAAAGAAGAGGTATATTTGTGTGTGCAGGGTCAGTGAGAGTGGAGGGGGCAGGGAGTGGTGCCCTTACA